TGGCTACCTGGTAGGAGCCACAAAGCTATATGTGGTTGGCTGCTGGACATGGAGGCGTATGGGGGTCTCTTCAATGTGAACCAAGGCCAGCTGCCACCAGTATTGGGCCTGAGGCAGCTTAGGAGAGGGCCCAGAGCCCCCTAGGCCTATTGCCAGCTGCTGGCTCAGTCGTTGAAAGAGCCTCCTTAGGTGCACGGACCAGGTTGGTTGACCCAGTGTCGAGAGTGCCCTTGGCTATGCAGTACTAGCTGGGTGGTGTGGGCTTCAATGGAGTCATGAGATGTGACCAGTAGTTTTTACAAAGTGAATGCAGTTTTGATTCTTGCACCAGTGCTGGGCCTGTGACCACTTTGCAAAAATGCCCTGAGAACACTGTGGACAGCCACTGCTCGCCTCAGGCCCGCAGGTCCCTGAGAACTGCCCAAGAGAATCTGTTGCCCACATTTTGGGTCACTGCCCACCACCAAAAGTTCTCTAGCTGCCACAGGCCATCCACTGTTGTAAAAGGCTTCCACAGCTTGTGGGGAGAGGCCTTCTGCTCAATAGTCATGAGTGTCCCAGATGATTCAGTACTAGTTGTGCAGGGCAGGGACCCAGGGCATCACTAAGGTAGTATGCACATGCAGATTTTATCAGACCAATGAGGTCTCAGATTTCGTCTTCTGAGGGAGGGTTCAACGTAGAAAAGATGGCGCCCTCCTATAAACTACACATGAGTAAGGCTCTACACAGGGATAATGGCTCCGGTCCCTCCAGCCCTCACCCTGAAGTCACACAACTCAGTCTTTCCCTGTATGTCTCTAGCACCTCTTAAATTGCTGTCCTGCTACCAGAGACCAGGTGAGTGTTTGCAGGCAAGTGAGTCTGTGTGCAAGCTCTTTAAGAGGACTTCTGGGTTTCCAGCCACGTTCTGTCTCACTGGGACAGGCAGACAAAGTCCTTGCTGATTTTCACTGCCAGATGTGGGAACTCCTCTTCCCAGTACAGGACCCCTGGGCTGAGGAGCCCAGTGTGGGACTGGGACCCCTCCCTCTTCCAGGGGGACCTCCACCACCAAGGTGTCCCTCCTGATGTTCAGCCACTATCTGTGGGTTTTCTTTCGGTCAGCTCCTTTCACGTCTCCACCCCTCCTACTGGTCTCGATATGGCCTCTTCTTTTTATCCTCAGTTATAGGGGTTCTGTTCAGCTAGTCTTCAGATGATTCTTGAGCTTGATTGTTCTATAATGTATTTGTAATTTGGGTGTGATCCTGGAACTTAGTAGGAGTAGCATTTACCTAACCTGCCATCATGGACCTTCTCCCACTCTGTGTCTTTTGATTGAAACATTTAATCCATTTATACTTAAAGTAATTGTTGACAGGGCCGGCTGACTGGCGCATTGGTTAAGAGCTGGCTTGGGACGCCAGAGGGCCCTGGTTCGGATCCCACATTTGAGGGCCAGTGACACTGCCCTCTGCAGCTAAGATGCTGAACAACAGCTCAACCTGGAGCTGGGCTGCCGTGAGTCACCAGCGACAGCGTAGGCTGCAACCCCTGCTGCAGTGGGTTGCCATGGGCTACCGTGTGTAGCCAGCAGCCAGCGTGAGCGACCAGCAGCCACTGTGAGCGGCCTCCAGAAGCTGGCGACTGATCTGCCTCGCCCGGGAAGAGCACAATGATGGTGCCAACTTGGGCCAGTGAAGCGACGTCCTCCACAACTAGACTGAAGAACAAAAGGACAGCAACTTGTCTGTTCCCCTTCCCCCAATTCCCCAGCACTGTTCCCATCCCTCCAATTCCCCAATAAAAATCTTTAAAAAATAAAATAAATAAATTGTTGAGAGATATGCAGTTATTGCCATTTTATTATTCATATTTTTAATCTTTTTTTTTCATCTTAAGTCCCTCTAAGATTCCTTGTAATACTGGTTTGGTAGTGATGAGCTCCTTTAGATTTTTCTTGTCTGGGAAACTCTTTATCTATCCTTTAATTCTAAATGATAGCTTTACTAGGTAGAGTAGTCTTGGTTGTAGGTCCTTGCTTTTCATCACTTTAAATATTTTGTGCCAGTCCCTTCTGGCCTGCAAAGTTGAGAAATCAACTGATAGTCTTTTGAGAGCTCCCTTATAGGTAACTAACTGATTTTCTCTTGCTGCTTTTAAGATTCTTTCTTTGTTTTTAACCTTTGACATTTTAATTATAATGTGTCTTGGTGTGGGCCTCTTTGGGTTCATCTTGTTTGGGACTCTGTGCTTTCTGGGCTTGTGTATCTATTTCCTTTGCCAGGTTAGGGAAGTTTTCAGTCATTATTTCTTCAAATAGGTTTTCAATTCTTTGCTCTCTCTCTCTCTTCTCCTTCTGGCACCCCAGTGATGTGAATGATGGTGTGCTTGATGTTGTTCCAGAGGCCCCTTAAACTCTCCTTATATTTTTGGATTCATTTTTCTTTTAGCTGTTCTGTTTGGGTGTTTCCTGCTACCTTATCTTCTGAATTGCTGATTCAGCCCTCTGCTTCTCTAATCTGTTGATTCTCTCTAATGTAGTCTTCATTTCAGATATTGTATTCTTTATTTCCAACTGGTTCTTTTTTGTTTACTGTTTCCATTTTTATGTTTCCTATCTCTTGTTGAAGTTCTCCCTGAGATCATTGAGCAACACTTATAAACAGTGTTTTGAATTCTGCATCTGGTATATTGTTTGTTTCCATTTGGTTTAGTTATTTTTTATGGAATTTGTTCTGTTCTTGTATTTGGGACATGTTTTTTTGTCTCCCCATTTTGGCTGCCTTCCTGTGTTTGTCTCTATGTATTAGGTTGGACTGCTATGTTTCCAGGTCTTAGTAGAGCGGCCTTATGTAGAAGGTGTCCTTTGGGACTCAGTCATGCAGTTTCCATGGTTACCTGAGCCACACACTCCAGGTGTGTCACTTGTGTGGGTTGTTTGTGCCCTCCTGTTGTAGTTGAGCCTAGTTTGCTGTTTGCACGTCACTGGGAGGGATTGGTCTGCAGGCTGATTGGTTGTGAGGTTGTGATTGGTTGTGACAACAGTGGAAGAGCTGTGATGCAGGAGCTGACCCTACACAGCAGGATTTGCTTTAGCAGGGCTCTGGTGCCTGCCCAGTCTGCCCTTTGGATGTGTCGTCCCTGGAGGTGGACGGGTGATGCTTTGGCTGGGTTCAAAGCTGCCCACTGAGTGTGACAGCCCTGGGGCCACCTGGGAGGGACCCCACTGCAGGCTAAGTTTATCTATGTTGTAGCATGGGTCAGAATTTTTTTCATTGAGGCTGAAATATATTTCGCTGTATGTATATACCACATCTTGTTTATCCATTTATTCATTCTCGGACCCTTGAGTTGCTTCTACCTTCTGGCTATGGGGATAATGCTGCTGTGAACTTTCTGAGCCTTTGGGGAGCCAGGCAAATTCTCCCAACAGAGTAGAAGCATACTGATGTTTTAGGTGGACTAGAAGCAGTGATCTAGATGTTTCTCTACTCAGAACATGTTAATGGAAGCTCTGGGTCTGATGGGCATGTTATTAGACATCAAGCTGCCACATAGGAAAACAGCTATTTCTTTTTCCTAGGAGTAATTTTTAACCAATCTTTTTTTTTGAATAATAAACAGTACTTGTATAATACATAATTTAATTTGAGAATTAAGTATACAAGAGAGAACTCAGCTTTGATAACTTCTAATAATGATGTCGATTTTGATGTGGATAATCATAAATTCCCTAAATATTTATGCTTTTGAAGTTTTTATGATCTCTTTGTGAAAGATTGGCCTTCCTAAAGCTTTGCCCAGAATTTCTTTGGCTTGTTTTCATGTCCTATTATTCTCAGGGAGGGGACATCCATCTAGGTGGAGCTGCTGGTGGGAGTGCATTTTATTCAGAAGACCATGGTGAAGAGGATTGTTTCCAGATTCCATGGCAGGGTCCCAGCCAAACCTGGAATGTATTATTTGTACCAGCTTTAGAGACAGAAAAGTTGAGTTTGAATCCTAGGTCTGCCTCTTATGAGTGAGAAAATGAATGTATCTGTCACTTACTGAGCTCCAAGGGTATGCCAGGCACTTTTCCGGATATTCCGTGTATTAACTCATTTAATATTCACAGCAGTCCTATCAAGAGAGAGACTACCATGACTTCCAGTTTATAAATAATGGAACTGAGGTGTGGCAGTGGAGTTCCTTTCCTCAGTTGATCCCGTTAATAAATGGTGGTGTCAGTATTCGAATCCAGGTTATCTAACTCTAGAATTGGGACTCTTAGTTGCCTCACTAAACTGTCTTCTAGAAATCAGGATATACAGAGTTGAGTGGGGAAGGGAGAACAATAGTGTATATGAAAATCATCCTACCAGTGTCAGAGCATCATGTAAATGTTGGTAGAGAGTGTTGTTATTTTAGTGATTCTCCCTCCTTGTTAAAGACGAAAGCTTGATATTTTAGCTCTTTGGAGGCAAAACCTATCCTCTTATGGTCATGCGATCACCACCTCTGAGGAGTCCAGCTCAGGTGTGACCCAGGGCAGATTCCTGGGACCCGCTGTAACAAAGTACCACAAACTGGAGGGCCTAGAACAACAGAAATTTATTGCCTTACAGTTCTGGAGGCCAGAGGTTCTGGAAATCAAGCTGTGAGCAGGGACGTGCTCCCTCTCAAGGTGCTAGGGAAGGATCTGTTCTAGTTCTGTCCCCTAACTTCTGGTGGTTTGCTGGCAATCTTTGATGTTCCTTGACTACTGTATCACTCCATCTCTGCCTTCATCGTCACATGGCGTTCTCCCTGTGTGCCTGTGTCTCCAGATTTCTCCTTTTAAAGACACCCATCATGTTGGATTAGGGCCCACCCTACTCTGGTATGACTTCATCTTTAACTAATGACATCTGTAAGATTCTGTTTCCAAAAAGGATCATATTCTGAGGTGGGGGAGGGTTGTTACTTTAACATACGTATCCTGGCAGGTGGAAACAATTCAGCACATAACACCCAGTGTCTCCCTCTGGTCTCAGTGGTGCCACAACAAGTGGGGGCGAGAATGAGCGTGAGGACCTGGAGCAGGAGTGGAAGCCCCCGGATGAGGAGTTAATCAAGAAACTGGTAGATCAGATCGAGTTCTACTTTTCTGATGAAAACCTGGAGAAGGACGCCTTCCTGCTAAAGCACGTGAGGAGGAACAAGTTAGGATATGTGAGCGTCAAGCTACTCACATCCTTCAAAAAGGTGAGGTTTCATTCTCAGAAGCGACCTCAAGGGTGTTTTGAGTTGTGGGTATAAATACTTTTCACCCCCTTGAAACCTAATGACTCATTATTTTTTACTTCCTCTGAGGCCTGAAGAAGAGAAAAATTATCAAGAGAAGTGATTTAGGATTGTTATTTGGAATAGTGTCCCACACTATTAAAAGGGTCCTGGGTGTTGGGACAGATCTCAGCTGGCAGCAGTAATGAAATGACATGGCTTATTCGTAGTAAAGTTCAGGCACTCATGGCAGGTGAGTGGGTGGCCAGGAGGAATCTGTGCCTGGACAGGGGGACTCAGTGGCCTTGTGAGACACCTACCAGACCTAGCATGATAGGAAAGCCAAGCTTTTCATTTGTCAAGTTCAATAAATAAAAGGAGGAAGGCATGCTCAGAACTCTCGAGATGAGCCTGCTCCAAGATGACCTCAGTCTTTGTTTTGCTGTGTTATGTCAACCTCCTCATCTGTAGATGAGATATGAGATATCTAATGATTGCTGCCATCTGGGTATCAGGCCACATGTCCCTGCTGTTTACACATCCAGCAACTGGACTGTGTTTGTCCTGCTTCTCCAAGAGCTGACAGGCCCGCTGGTGTAAGAACTCTGTGTCTCTCTCGGGGGAAGTGTGCCTACTAGGATGGAAAAGCACTACGCGGCCTTTTGCATCACGAGATGTGTAATGAATGGGGCCTGGCTAAGTTGCCTGTCCACTTTGTCAGGGAGCACTAAGGAGAGCTGTTCTCCCAGAGCTCTTCCCTGCCTTGCCTCCTGGTAACTCTGCCCTCTTCCATTGCTCTCTTCATTCAGTCGTCAAACATATTCATCCTGTATGCTGAGTACTATGTTAGGCACAGGATCTATTAAATGAACTTGGCATTTCCCCTGTCCTTGTAAAGTCCAGTGAAGGAGAGAGATCAGTATGACCATAGACAGTACCACAAAAGAAAGAATAAAGTACTGTTGGGGGTGAGTTGATCGGAGCAACTAACCCTGCCTGGAGAATTGAGAAGTATCCCCAGAAGTGGTGATGTTGAAGTAGGGTCTTGGGGGATGAGTAGGAGTTTTCAAGGTATAGGAGAGGAGAAGGGACATTTCGTGTTGTAAAGGAAAAACGTACTCTTCCTCCTGTGCATCTCCTTTACTCTCACACTACTGCTATAATCATACTTCTGACACCAGATATGAGGGAGAGGAGGTTCTCACACCAAGCAATTCTGTGACACCAGCTGGGAGTCCTACAATTTAACTCAATTCTGATGCTATCTACCTGGAGATAGTGTCGAATCCCAGAAGTTAAGGACTCACTCCTGAAACAATGCTCCCCATTTCAGATGCCAATTGCAAGTAGTTGGTCCCCAGGTTACCCACAACTTCTGTCCAACTTGGCTACAAATTGGAGGTTTTGACCTCCTCCCTTTGGATTTGATTATTGGCTAGACTAGTTCGTAGAACTCAGGGAAACACTTAACATTTACCAGTTTGTTAAAGGACATGGTAAAGGATGCAGGTGAACAGCCAGATGAAGAGCTACACAGGATGAGGTCTGGAAGGGTCCTGAGTGCAGGGACTTCTGTCTCAGTGGAGTTGGGACATGTCACCCGCTGGGTAGGTGGATGTGTTCACCCTTCTGGAAGCTTCCCAAACCCCTTACTATTGGGACTTCATGGAGCTTTCGCACATAGGCATGATCAATTATTAACTCCAGTTCCTGCCCCTCTCCCTCTCTGGAGGATGGGGGGAGGGGCTGAAAATTCTAACCTTCTAATCATGGCTTTGTCTTTCTGGTAACCAGCCCCCATCCAGGAGCCCACCTAGAGTCACCTCATTAGAACAAAAGATGTTCCTAGTGCTGTTATCCCTTAGGAAATTGTAAAGGTTTCAGGGGTTCAGGAGTGGGGACAAAGACCAAATATATATATTTCTTACTATAAATCACAATGTCACACATGTGCAGAGAACAGTGAGCAAGCCCTCCTATGAAGTGTTTGTGGGGGACCCAGATTGAAGCAGTTAGTGGAATCATCCCACCCCAGGGACCCTAAGCATCTCCCAATTTTCTTTCCTTTTTAAGTTGCCACTTATGGTTCCATTTAGGCGGGGTCTTCTCTGCTGAACCCTGGTTGCAGAGTGGACACAGACTCCCCAACACCTCTAAAATGAGAGCAAAGACCATTTTCCTCTTAAAGTGTTTCCTGCTAATCGTAGTAGAAAACCTATATGACAAAGGTAATAAACGGGAATTACAGAGTTTCTGAAATTCTCACAAAGTTCTTCTAGTAATTACACGAACCCCATGGCGCCCTGGTTCCTCTTCTTGGGTGGTACCTAACACTCATAAAGATTCACAGACACAGGCCTGGGACACTCAGACTGTGGCGGAGATTGCACGGTGGACCTTGCTCCTGGCTCTGGAGGGGTGCTGGAGAGCCTGCTGCTCTCTGAACTGGATGTGGTTGTCCATCAGCTTCCCCTGCCCACTGATTAAGGCAGCACTGGCCTCCCCCAGTCACCTTTTGCTCAGGCTTCAGGCTTAGAGGGTCTCTTCCCCTCTCCTGAGTGCTCCCTCCCTGGTGGGTTTTGTTCTGCTTGGCTTTCCCACAAGCTGGCACTGACCTGCAGTCATCATCTCCATCCTGTCCACATCCCTAATTGATTCCATCCACCTGAACCTGAAGTCTGATCCTTTGCTTGGACCCGCTTCCTCTGCCCTTAACCTGTGTCCTGGTGATCTGCCCATGGAATCTGTGTGTATGACTTGGGGTCCCCATGCCCTAAGCCCAAATCTGGGGCATTTCACCTAGAGGCCACAGGCTAGAGTGGACAGTGCCCTGTCTCCAGGAGCCTGCCTGTACTACTAATAGCTCTGCCAAGGTGCCCTCCATGCCGCCTTCCCTTCTCGAGTCCCGGGAAGTTCCTGTTTTGGTCTCAGGGTTCCTCTGCAGAGCCACTGCTTTGGCCTGGCCTCAGAGGCCTCGGGGTGATCTCACCATTCCTGGCCCAGGCTACCCACCCCACCCACCTCCACTGTGTCTTTGGGATGACTCATTCTCCCTGGCATTCCCTTCACTGGAAGTGGGCCTCTTGAAAATTACTGTTTTATGATATAAATATAGCTTTCACGTACTGCAACATTGATACACACTATTTCCGCTAAGGGAGGAGGGGGACTATTTCATCATTCTCCATGAGGTCCAGGTTGAATTTAATTCCAAGTTGAAACAGTCCACATCATTCCCAGGAGATATTGCAGTGAAATAAGAAAGATCACTTGAGAAGATCTTTCTCTGTATTAAATGCATAAATACTACTTCAGAGAACCTGAGAATCTGAGTCCTGTCAAATGATAGAATGTAGTATTTGCAATAATGACAGCTCCTAATATTTACTGAGTACTCACTGTGAGCTAGACACTGTAATGAGTTACGTGTGTGTGCGTGTGTGTGTCTGTCTGTCTGTCTGTCTGTCTGGATATATATATTGTATATATATATATATATATACCAGGTATTAGTCTAGATCTCAGTGTTCCAGGGGTAAGGAAAGGAGGGAGGGAGATTACGGAGGACACGTGGTGGACAAGGAGATGAGGTACCATTTCCGGTTTGCTTTGTGTTCTTCAGGTAAAACACCTCACACGGGACTGGAGAACCACAGCATATGCCTTGAAGTACTCAGGGACCCTCGAGTTGAATGAGGACCACCGGAAGGTGAGAAGGACCACGCCCGTCCCGCTTTTCCCCAATGAGAACCTCCCCAGCAAGATGCTTCTGGTCTATGATTTCTACCTGTCCCCCAAGCTGTGGGCCCTGGGCACCCCGCCAAAGAATGGCAGGGTGCAGGAGAAGGTGATGGAACACCTGCTCAAGCTCTTCGGGACCTTTGGCGTCATCTCATCAGTGCGGATCCTCAAACCCGGGAGAGAGCTGCCCCCTGATATCCGGAGGATCAGCAGCCGGTACAGTCAGGTGGGGACTCAGGAGTGTGCCATTGTCGAGTTTGAGGAGGTGGAAGCAGCCATCAAAGCCCATGAGTTCATGATCGTGGAATCTCAGGGCAAGGAGAACATGAAAGCGGTCCTGATTGGCCTGAAGCCACCCAAAAAGAAACCCCCCAAAGACAAGAACCAGGACGAGGAGCCCACTGCAGGCCTCCACCTGAACAAGTCCCCGAACAAGAGAGTTGAGGAGCTTCAATACATGGGCGATGAGTCCTCCGCTAACAGCTCCTCCGACCCTGAGAGCAATCCCACGTCCCCTATGGCTGGCCGGCGGCATACGGTCACCAGCAAGCTCAGCCCTTCTGGCCACCAGAATCTCTTTCTGAGCCCGAATGCCTCCCCGTGCTCAAGTCCTTGGAGCAGCCCCTTGGCTCAACGCAAAGGCGTTTCCCGAAAATCCCCACTGGCCGAGGAAGGTCGGCTGAACTCCAGCACCAGCCCTGAGATCCTTCGCAAGTGCACGGATTATTCCTCTGACAGCAGCATCACTCCCTCTGGCAGCCCCTGGGTTCGGAGGCGCCGCCAAGCAGAGATGGGGACGCAGGAGAAGAGCCCCAGAGCGAGTCCCCTGCTCTCTCGGAAGATGCAGACTGCAGATGGGTTACCTGTGGGGGTGCTGAGGTTGCCCAGAGGCCCTGACAACACCAGAGGGTTCCATGGTGGACACGAGAGGGGCAGGGCCCAGGTATAAACACCTTTGATTTTTAATGCCAGCTCCATTGAAAACCACCTGTTTTCAAGCTCCTGAGAAATACCTGGCATGGCATAGAATGAAATAAGTCCCCTTTGAAAGATTTTGTATACATGTAGACCTCTTAATTTATATATTTGTAATGTATATAAATTGTCTGGTACACCCCGGGTATGACCATCTTCTAGAATATTGGTTCCTCCCAGCATGACCGTTGTTTTGATGCCGCCTGGCGTGTGTGAATTTCAGGGCTCTGTATGGCTGTGGGACGGAGGCTCCTCAGGGAATGTCTGGCAGGGGGTTTCTTCTTTGGCAGGGTTCTTTCCTCCAGTGACAGGGCTGTCCTCGGTTGCCATGCAGGTGCTGCCTGAGAGCCCAGGGGAGTTCTCGTACAATGGCAACTAGTTACGCCGGTAGCATGGTTGCTACCAAATATATGTTTCCTGTCAAGTGAATAAATAATAAAACACCCAACGGGGAGTGCCAGCTCTGAAGTCATAGGCTGTGCCTGACAAAAGTCTGCCTGTCTGACAGGCTGTAGTTACTGTGTAATGAGGCCCTGAAGAGTGTAACAGGGACACATGTCTTGAATGTGCCCGGGGGAAGCCCTGGGGTTCCCAGCAGCCTGAGGGGTTGCCAGAATGTGTGCAGATGTGAGAGCACCGCAGCTCTCATCACAACGAATCCTGCCCAGTGAGGCAGCTTAGTCTAGACCAAGGTCTCTAGATGTGGTTCCCCTGGACTAGCAGCATTGACATCACCTGAGAACTTGTTAGAAATGCAAATTCTCAGGCTCTGCCTCAGGCCCGCTAAATCAGAAACTCTGAGAGAGGGGCCTGGAATCTGGATTTTAACAAGCCCCACCTCACCCCAGTAATTCTGATGCACTCTGGAGTTTGAGAGCCACTATTATGGAAAAAAGGTGTAGGACTGGAGGTCAGTGTGGCGCCCACTTCCCACCCCCCACTTAATAGTTCTGTGTGTGACCTTCGGACAGGTACTAGCCTCTCTCAACCTCGTGGTATCCCTGCACAGTGCTTCGTCTTGATGTCAGTGTCTGAAATGCAGTTGGCCCTCCATAAATGGTAGCTCTTTGTCCTTGGGTTGCTGTCCATATCACTGGAAACTGCCTTGGTGTCGCAGAAAGAGCACTGGCCGGATTCCAGTGTTGGCTTATCCACTTGTTATTTGAAGGGGATTTTAGGCAAGTCACATTCAATAGAATTTGTTAATAATTTATTGAATAGTGATTAGATACCAGCGAATATGCTAAGAGTTTTCCATGCATTATCTCATTTAATTCTCCCAGCAACCACAGGAGAAAGGTTCAGATATTATCTCTATTTCATACTGCAAGAAACACTTTATGTGTGTACCTTGCAGATGAACCCGAGCTCTAAAGCCCTGGCCACACCTTCAACGGGGGCATAGGCTTCCTGTTTGTTAGCATAGCAGGCCTTTCTTGAACAGCTTGACTGGGAAACTCAGCCGACAGCGTTTTTACAGATGTTTCGTGATTCTTAATGAAAACCAGCTCTCTCTCCACATTGGAACACAAAGCCCGCTGGACATCTCCACTTGAGGTGCTGACAGCATCTTCAGACTCTACACACATCCAAAGCCTGCCCCCCTCCAACCCCACCTCCCACACACACATGTGCACCTGCTCCTTCTGACTTCCCATCTCACCCAGGGACCTCACCATCTTCCATGTCCCCCAGACTGGAAAAGAAACTGCATGGCCTGTGTGAAGAATGCAGGTTCTTGAGTTTGACAGCCTGGGTTCAAATCCTAGTGACCTTTGAAAAAGCAATGGCTTAGCCTTTCTGTGCCTCAGTTTCCTCTCTCATAAAAGGTGGATGATACTATTCCTACCTCACATGATTTGTCATAATTAAATGAGTTAATACCTGTAAAATGCATAGTACCTTGCACATGGAAAACACTCAAAGAACGTAAGCATCTCATATTTATATCATTTTCCACATTCAGAGCTGTGGGTTCTAGCCCTGAAAGGTTGCTTACATGCTCCCCCACTCCCCACATACTTACGTCCTTATATCCACCTCTCAAGGCCTCCCTGTCTCCAATCCTCCCTGTTAACCTCCCTTATAATGCCTCCAAACCCATCTTACTAGAGTTCTGTTCGCATAACTTCCTTACTTAAAAAATAAAATGTTGGCTGCCCCTTCCCTCAACACGGAATAAGGGGCAAACTGCCCACTCCTTTGCCCGCTGTGCATCCTGAGGAGAAGGCCCTCTGGACGTTAGTGGGGTTGATCCAGAAACATGTCCATGCCTGTGTCTCGTTTACCATTGCATCACTCCAGGGTGTGTCTCGGTTGAAAAAGGCTCTGTTTGGTTTCTGCCACACACGACTGAAACACATGAGAAAGAACTTTTTGAAGACACATTGGTCACCGATTATTTTTAACTACTTCCCCTAAAATGTGAACTTGCCTTTTCCGATAGTATTCAGCTGCGTGTTCTATCCTTGTGAGTTGTAAACATGATGGAAAAGTACCCAGAAACAAACGGCAACTCTCTAGGAGGAAAAGACTGAAACCGGAGGGAAAGTTGACTTCTTGTTCCCGGCAGTGACTTCAGTCCTGGTGGGCGCCCATTCCCTTAGTGGAAACGTAATGCCGTAGGCCACCGCCTGAGTACTTCGTTCACATGAAGTGTCCCTCAGGATGATGGGCATGTTGACGGGTCAGTCCTTTGTATGCTGTCAATGGAACGGGGCCGTGCCAGTCACTCATTGCTCTGGGAGCTGGAACAAATGAGGTGGTGAGTCGTGTCTGGAATGTATGCAGCCCAACGAGTGAACTAAGCTATTACTTTCCCTTGAACCTATTTCTAGTTGAGTAGCTAGCTGTTTGCACCACACCCCGCATTTGGAATCAGCTGTGAGATGAGCAGAAGCAAGCGAGACGTGTCCTGTACATAGTATATGTCTAATTAAATTCCACAAGCCTTCTATACCTTAGGAAAAAGAAACAGTGCACTGAAATGCTTTGGATGAAAGATGTATCCTAAGTGATCCTTGCCCTTATCTGTAACTGGAATGTGCAGTAGGTTCAGGCCTGCTTTCTCACCACTGTGGTTATAGTTAACCCACCTTCAAAGATGAATTTGGGAAGGTCAATTCATTATGCTTGTCAGATGGTACTTCTGGAGGAGAATTCCTCCCGTGGGTTTGCTCTCTCAGCGCCCTCTAGTGTTCAAACTAGGACATAGCCCTCCCTCTCTAAATGGATCATAGCCCTGCATAGATAGAGTCCAGCTTACACTTTGACTCTTGGCAAATCAGAAAGACCCTAGTTCAAATGCCAGCCTTGCTACTTGCCGAACTAGGAGACTTGTCTTACCTCTCTAGGCTTCAGTTTCCTCATCTGTAAAATGAGGATGATAATACCTGCAACATGAGTGTTGTTGTAAGGATTAAAGGGGATAATACTTCACACCATCCCAGCTTTAAAAAATTGCTCCAAAAAACTTATCGTCACTAAAACGTTCAGCCATAAATTCATCCTAAGTAAGAAGGATGGGAAAGACTTATCTGGAACACTGATCACTTTGCATTATAGTCAATTGTTTATGCATCATATCTTTGCTGGTTTATGAACCACGAGGTAAGGACCATGAAGTTCACTGCATTTAATTAAGTCTGGCCCGTGGCTGGAGCTCAGGAAGTATTTGTTGAATGAATACTGAATAAAAGCTTGTTTTCCTCAGCCTTAAAAATAGTGTACAGTGTATTATACAATTAGTATTTCCAAACATCCGTGCAGACCTGTTTCCAGATTGCAAGGACGCTACAATTCAGCACTCTTTGTTGTGAAACACTCTGGCCCTGGGATGTACCTGGGAGTGCCTGCATGTTCCATCACACGCTATGGAAAAGCATGTTCTGCATGATTAAGTCTAGAATGGGAACTCTTGAACTCTGAACCCCCGAGGAACCTGAAAAGGAGCATGAGTACCTAGGACAGGTGAGAGGAGCTTAGGAATGGAGGCCATGTCAGGATCAAGAGACCCCTGAAGCTGCCTCTCGTGTGTGTAAACAGAGGATGATGGTCCCATCCTGAAGTACCTGGAATACACTCTGAAGGGCCAACCCAATTATTCAAGTGCCCAGATGAATTCAGTTGCACACATGTACTTAAGTAATATGTCATCTCAAGTGGCCATAGGGCAGACTTCAGAGAAAGAACAGAGAGCAACTGTTATGAACATGCATAAATATTTTCTTTATCCAAAAGTTATTCTTCTAACACCACAAACCCACAATCAAGAAAAGAAATGACACAGGCAAGTAGATTTGTTCTGTTTTTAAACACAAGAAATATCATGTGAGAAATTTCAACTGTTTTTACTTTTAAAGAGTTAAATTTTGGAACAGAGACTTGCTTATTATGAGTTGCACAGCCTCTAAAAGTTGGAGAAGCTGACTTTGACATTGAGAACTAATTAGAAGCTGGTAATTGCAAATTTATAGAGTGCAACATCTGTTTTTTGTTTAGCATAGCCTTATAACAATGTAAGAAAGATGGAGTCTATAAAACCCCAAAGTACTCTGAAATTAACAACTTCACAGGAGAACTTAACAGTAGGTCAAATGAAATTGCTGGGCTTTGTAGTCTTTACAGATTGGCAAATAATCAGATTTCGGGACTATGAAATGATTGTGAAGAACTCCTAGGGGGTGTATTTAGTGTCTGCATCCATTAAAATCTTACTGACCATCCAAGGAAAAAAGAGCTAGGAAACCTATGTGAAGCGCCGGGTTCCTTTTGAGAAAGAAAGTGAGGCTATACTGAGTTCCTATTCTTTAAATCATATAAAAAATAAAATATCCACCAACTATAACATGTAACTCGTTTGAGACATCATATTAGATGTAAGATGCTGATAAAATTCATTGTTTTGAACTGTTTTCATTGCTGGGAATAAAGGAGTGAGCAAGACTCAGATACATACATCCTGTACTCATTTTTATTCTGGGAGGGGGCAGGTAATACACCAATAAACAAGATAATTTCAGGTACTAATTTAGGAAAAAATAAAACAATGTAATGGTGTGGAAAATTATACCAGGTGGGGGTGAAAGGTTTTTTTATTTATTTTTAATTTTATAATAAAAAATGTCAAGCAAATGCAAAAGTAGAGAGTATAAGAAACTTTAATAAGTTCCCCCCAGATTCAACAATTATGCATTTTTCCCACATTTACTTCATTTGGAACTTTTCCTTTCTTCTTTTTTTTTTTCCTAAATATTTTTAGGGCAAAGTTTCTGGATTTAATTGCTAAAATATTTAAAAACATCCCTTGCTTCATTCATTTCATCCTTACATACTTCAGTATGCATCTCTAGTAACTGAGGGCCAGAGAAGTATTTCTAAAACTTTTGCTTAAATTTGTAATTCCTAAAAATTATAGGTTATATAAAAATATAACATAACTAAACATTTTAATAATTATAGTTAAATAATATAAATTGTATAACATACAGTTATAAAATTATAAATTATAAAAGAATGACTAAACATTATAAAACAACATTAAAAATAAAATTATATAAACAGCCAAATTCTAATCACCTGAACTTAGTAACTGTTTCAACTTAGGTGCTTTTTCCTCCATCTTTAAAAACAAAACAAAACTTTTTTTTTTATTACAATAGAACGTACTGTTGAAAAGTACACATATCATAAGGGTATGACTTGGTAAATAAAGCATCATAGAGTAAAACACATCTGTGTTTACTACCTATGGTAGCTGGGACTCCAGGATTGTGGGTTTTTTTGGTAATTTATTTATTGAAGAAACTTATCATCATCCTGCAATTTCCCACATGCTGAATTCATTCAAAATTTTTTCTATCCCTGTCTTTCCTGCAAAATGGTCATTAGATCTAGACTCTAGACCAGGGTCAAGATTAAAAATAGTGCCGAGTCATAATGGCAAGGAAAAAAACAGTATTACTGCTGATCCTGTCTTTATTTAAAATGTTGATATTTTTTATCATGAATTTTTTGCATTAATTTTGATTTTTTTTAAATATTGCATTAAAATGTTATCTCGATCACTGAGTTTTTTGGCATCCCCTAACTACAGGCATCATCCCTGGCTAGAGGCTTGGTCCATCTCAGGTTCAATTTTTTGCCAAGACTGCTACTACTTCACAGTTGACTGTGTATCTCTCTTGCATCATATTAAGAGGGACTTGCCTGACTGCCTCTCTCTTTTTTTTTTAAGATTTTATTGGGGAATTGGGGAGATGGGAACAGCACTGGGGAATTGAGGAAGGGAAACAGACAAGTTGCTGTCCTTTTGTTCTTCAGTCTAGTTGTGGAGGACGTCACTTCACTAGCCCATGTTGGTATTGTGATCATTGCGCTCTTCCCAGCTGAGGCAGATTGGTCGCCGGTCCTTCGAAAACTGCTCACGCTGGCTGCTGACCACTCACGGTAGCTTACGGCAGCCCGCTGCAGCCCCACTGCAGCCTATGCTGTCACTGGTGACTCAATGGCAGCCCTCTCTTTTTCAACGTTAAGCATGGTCAATGGAGGATGTCAGCTCTGACCACAACTGTTCCATATTGTACCGGAAATGCTAGCAAGTGTAATTAGACAAGATATAAAAGGCATTCAGAATGGAAAGGAAGAAATAAAACTGGTTACTATCACGGCTGAGATGTAAAAAAAATCCCGAGAATCTACTAAAAAAAAGCTTCTAGAACGAAGTGTATATAGCAAGGTCATGGAATAAGTCAACTTACAAATATCAATCATTTTTCTATATAAATGAACAATTGGAAACTGAAATTCAAAAAAATTACCATTTATAATAGCTCCAAAAAGAATATGATATACTTAGCTATAACTTTAACAAAATATGTACAGGGTCTACATGCTGAAAATTACAAAACGCTGATGAAACAAATCAAAGAAGACCTAAATAAACAAGGGGACTTACTCTGTTCATGTATTAGAAGATTTATTATAGTTAAAATGTCAAACTTACCCAATTGATCTGTAGATTAAAGGCAATTCCAAGGGAATCCCACTATGATTCTTTGTAGGTAAAGACAAGCTGATTATAAAATTTATATGTACAAGTCCAGGAACTAGAATACTTAAAATAATTTTGAAAAAGAAGAACAAGTTGCAAGACTCACACTACTTGATTTTAATATATACTGTAAAATAAAACTACAGTGATCAAAACAGTATGGTATGGACTAAAAAATAGACACATAGATAAGTGGAACTGCATAGAGACTCCAGAAATAAATCCATAAAATATGGTCAAATTTAAAGAGCTTTGTTGAGGTAAAATTGACTTACAACAAATCATACAAATTTAAAGGGTACAATTTGATAAATTTTGGCATATGTATACATCTGTAAAACCATCACCTCAATCAAGATAATGAACATATCCATTATCCCCGAAAGTTTCCTTGCATCTTTTAGTAATCCATTCTTCCTATCCCTCTCCACCTACCTACTTTATCTCCTGGCAATCACTGATCTGCTTTCAATCATTTATGTTTACACTTCTTGAAATTTAATATTAATGGAATCATGCAGAATGTACTGTTTTGTCTGACTTCCTGAACTCGACAATTATTTTGAGAATCATCCATGTTGTAGCATGTATCCATAGTTCATTTTTTTTATTGCTGTGGGGTAGTCCATTGTATCCATTTTGTTTATCTGTTCACGTATTGATGGACATTCAGGTTGTATCCCATTAGGGCTATTACAAATAAAGCTGCCATGAACATTCGTGTATGAGTTTTTGGACATGTGTATGGACTTATGTTTTCTATTTCTCTTGGGTAAATATCTAGGAGTAGAATGGCTGGATGAAGTGGTAATTATGTGTTTAACTTTTAAAGAAACTGACAAACTCTTTTCAAACTGTTTACACCATTTTACATTCCCACCAGCAGTGTCTGAGAGTTTCAGCTCTGTCACATCTTCACCAACACTTAATTTTAGCCAGTCTAAAAGGTGTGTGGTGATAACTCATTGTGGTTTTAATTTGCTTTTTTTTTTTAATTTGAAGATCTTTTCCTGATGTTGAAGACCTTTCCAAGTGCTTATTTGCCATCCATATATCTTCTTTTATGAAGTGTCTGTTCAAAATTTTGACAAAGGTATGAGAGCAGTTCAACAGATTGTCTTTTCAACAGATGGTGGTAGAACAATTGAAAATTCATATGCAAAGTTTGAAGCTCAACCTATACCTCACATCAAATACAAAAATTAAATAAAAATGAATCCCAGACCTAAATGTAAAATTAAAAACTATAATACTCAGATTAAAAAATAAGAGAAAATCTTCATGCTCTTGGATCACAAGAGCATATAAAGAACTCTCCCAACTCAACAGTAAGAAAGCAAACAACCTATGTTTTTTAATGGGCAATGGACTTGAACAAACATCTCCCCAAAGAAGATATACAGATGGCAAATAAACATATGAACAGTTGTTCACATCATTAGTCATCAGGGAAATTCAAATTAAAAGCCAGAATGAGATATTATTACAATTATATACCTACTAGAATGACTAATATAAATGATGCTGATAATATGAAGTGCTGATAAGGATGTGGCGCAACTGGAACTCTTGTACATGTCTGGTGGGAATGCACTGTTGTATAGGACAGGCTCTCTGGAGAACAGTTTGATATTTTCTTACAAATTTAAACATATACTTGCCATTTGACCCAGCAATCTCATCTGTAGGGATTTATTATAGAGAAGTGAAAACATTTATGCTCACACAAAAACTTATACACTAATGTTTAATAGCAGCATTATGAATAATTGCCGCCAACTGGAAACTATTAAAATATTCTTCCATGAGTAAATGGATGAAAAACTGTGGTCCATCCATACAATGGAATACTACTCAGCAATGAAAAGGAATGGGCTATTGCTACACACAACAATATGGATGAATCTCAAATGCATTATGCTACATGAAAGAAACCAGTCTTAAAAGATTACATGCTGTGTTATTCACTTCATGTGACAGTTTGGAAAGACAAAACTATAGGAACAGATCCGTGGTTGCGAGGGGGTGGGAGCAGGAAGAGATTATAAAGGAGCAGTATGAGGGATTTCTTTTGGGAACTGGAATCATTCTGTGTCCTGTTTTTGGTGGTGATTACAAGGATCTATGCATGTGTAAACCCTCGTAGAGCTGCACAACAACAAAAGGGAAGCTGATGTATGTAAATTTTTTGAAAGTAATAAAAAAAGATTGATGGGTGGTTTCAGGTGTTTGTGCAGCCTGCTCTATCCTTGTCAGTCCCCTAAACCTGAAATACTTGGTGAATAAACCCAAGGCCAGTGTGGCTGGAGCTAAGAGCTGGGGAAGACCCAGTGAGGTCAGGTAGAAGGGTAGGGCAAGCCCAGGTATATACAGCCCTAGAGACAGTTGGAAAGGAATCTGTGCTTCTTAAAAATCATTCTGGGGGCCGGCCGAGTGGCGTGTTGGTTAAGAGCTGGCTTGGGACGCCAGCTCTGAGCAGCAGGGCCCCGGTTCAGATCCCACATGCGGGCCAGTGACACTGCGCCCTCTACAGCTAAGATGGTGAACAACAGCTCGACCTGGAGCTGGGCTGCCGTGAGTCGCCGGTGACGGCGTAGGCTGCAGTGGGGCTGGCTGGCAGCAGGCATGCACTTTCGTGAGCTGCCCTGAGCCACCGTGAGCGGCCGTCTAATGGCCGGTGAGCGACTGCCTCACCCAGGAAAAGCACAATGATAATACCAACTTGGGCAAGTGAAGCGACGTCCTCCACCTAGACTGAAGAACAAAAGGACAGCAACTCGTCTGTTCCCCTTCCCCCAATTCCCCAACGCTGTTCCCCTCCCCCAATTCCCCAATAAAATCTTAAAAAAAAAGAAAAAAGAAAAAGATTGTTCTGGCTCCTATGTGGAGAATGGATGTATAACTG